CGCGGGAGCCCTGGAAACTTTGCACGCGGGCGGGCCCCCAGGCTCCGGGCCCCGCGCTGGGGACACCTGTGTGCGATGCGCCCACTCGCCCTTCCGATCCCGATTGCATTCGCGATGTGGACCGAGCCCCAGCACGCCGTCTGGGCAGAAGCAATGAGCAAACCGGGCTTCCCGTGCCACTGCGGTTTAGACCCGGCACGCCGCTGAAACGGAGTGGGCGCTGGACTGCGGTCCCCCGCTGCGGCTGGGTGACCCCAGGCCACTGGAGGAACCTCTCTGGTTGTCGGCTTTCCGCCCCAGACACGGCCGGGAGACCACATCCCGAAGGGTCTCTTCCAGCGCTGACACGCTGTGATGTCCATCCCTGAAATCGCACCCTCTGTTGTTCGGTTTCCCCAATTATCCCATGCAAGAGAATCTGTAAGGGGCAGACTGATCTTCCAACAGTCACTGGACATATTGCGATGGCAGAATCACTGAAAAGCACTCCCTAATCACGTGAGGACTTCGACCTAACCGCACACAGAGGGAATCTCATCCATTTAGACTCGAGATTCATATAACTCGTTCGATTGCATATGCGATGTCAGAAAAGGGTATAAGCACCAAGCTAATGTCTAGAGGCTTAACGGCTACCTAACAGACAAGCACGACAGCAGCTGAATCTGCAGTGAGACAGGGTATGGCGTGGCCAGGGTACAAGCCCCCAAACTCACTACCATCCAGTCAATAGCGACCCTGTGGGGCAGGGTAGAACTGTGGATTTCTGAGACTAACTCTTTTTTTTTTAAATCATTTTATTAGCGGCTCCTACAACTCATCACAATCCATATACATACATCAATCGTGTAAAGCACATTTGTACATTCGTTGCCCTCATCACTCTCAAAACATTCCCTCTCCGCTTAAGCCCCCGGCATCAGCTCCTCATTTTTCCCCTCCCTCCTTGCTCTCCCCTCCCTCATGAACCTTAGATAATTGATAAATGATTGTTTTGTCATATCTTGCACCGTACGACCTCTCCCCTCACCCATCATTCTGTTGTCCATCCTCCAGGGAGGAGGCTATATGTAGACCCCTGTAATGGGTTCCCCTTTCCACCCCACCCACCCTCCACCCTCCTGTCTAGACTGTAACTCTTCATGGCAGTACAAAGCCTCATCTTTCTCCCAAGTAGTAGCAGGTGGTTTTGAATTACTGATCTTGCGGTTAGCAGCCTAACGTGTAACCACTACATTACCAGAACACCTGTGGTCAAGGGACAAATATATTACCTTTCATAAATTTGGGATGGGGGATCCTGATTAAAGAGCTCACAATAAGATCCAACCCCCTGCCTGAGCAGATTCCAACTCAGTAATGCTGTAGGACAGAGTAGAACTGCCCCAGAGGCTCATGAATCGGTGGCTGTGCCATTTGGATGGGGTTCAGCTAGAATGGTTATTCTCCTCACTGGACAGACTCATGCATTTGCAGTCAACTGGTGACCAATAGCTTCCCTCCCAGCTGACAGCAGGAACAACGACTAGAAATGAAGCATGTGCTATCCTCCAGAGGCCAGCCTGGGCTCTCTCCTATGATAGGGAATATGTTGTTGCTGCTCTTAACACCATAAAAGAGACAAAACTGAAACCTGTAAGAATGAATGCATTCACTTCAAGCCAATGGGAAACGAGAAGAATAAAATCCAAGGAAACACTGATATTTTAAAGAGTGGGCAGAGGCATAAGCGCCTATAAAAGAGATTGAAGAGGGATGAGACATCAGGGAAAGGCAATCACAGAGAGAGAGACGTGGTCAACAGTGTCACATACTACAGATAAGTACATGCTCTTACCATTAGCCATATATGCCCTAGCCCGAGAGTC